AAAAGTGCGGAAAACCAAGTGGGACAGACTGACAGACAGACAGACAGAGGGACAGACGGACAGACAGACAGACAGACGGACAGACGGACGGACAGACTCAGAGGAAACCTATAGTCCCCTCCGGTTTCACCGGTAGGGGACTAAAAAAAAAAAGAAGACATTTTGTATTTCTTAACCAGGCAATTCGGTTTCTATTTTTCTCTACCAGCAATTGAATGCTCTTAATCCTCCTTTAGGTTTTTGATGTACATTCTTCGAGTTTTTTTTTTTTTCAATCATTGGTTATATTTGTATATTTTTCAAGTTCTCCCAAATTGAAGATTTGCAATACTTGCATCACAATGACACTCACAAAGTCATTATAAAATTGGATATATTGATAAAAATGTTAGTCAGTTATTCTTCATTCTAAAACTGATTTAAAATATAACTTTGTGACTTGTCTTATGGTAAATAATTTCATTTATCTCGTAAACAAGTAAACATTTGTGAATTATGCTACCTTACAACCGATTGTTTGTTTTAATATATGGTCATTAGTATAATTCGGAACTATAAAATAGTAAAACGAGTCTTTTATGACGGCAAAAAGCATTTTGAAATGGTTTAAAGTACAAAATAATTTTCCATACTAAAACCTTGTTTTCTTTTAATTGTCTTTTGGAATTATAAATCTAGCTCTATGTGTGAATATTATAATGTATGTTTTACTCCCTTTTTGAATGTAAGAATAGGTTTTAATTATTTTTTGTTTGTTATAAATACTGTATTATTTATGAATGTGTCAGGTATAAAGAAGAGGAGCGACTATATGAATCAATTTGACTGGAAAGAAAGCGGGCACTGACTCTTGCTAAATGTTCTTCTTCATCTTGCAGGAAGGTTTGCGGTTTACAAATTACCATGCTGGTATTATAATATGACATTGTGATGGGTAACATGGAAAATTATGGCGTCGGTGTAAAATATATAAAAAGAAAATACTTTGCATTTTGACTTATGATGTGTATGACTGTGGTACAACATTTTCTTTAATTGTTTGTATAATGTTTCTTATGATATTAATCAGCCAGAAGTCAAAATCTTACACTCATTTCTATAAAAATCTGTAAACTGAGCCCCCTCCTTTCTTTCTCTCCTTGTCTTTGAATATTCTCCTACATTATTAATTTGTAGGCACAAAAAATGCCTTGTCTCTTGCAACAAATCCCATTAAAACTGGTAAATTAAAGAAAGACACTTTGTTCAGTTTTTTTTTAAATAGAGTATAGAAAATGCATATTTTATTCCAATTGCGACTGGTTATAAGCAGACCTGTTATTGTATTCTCTTGAAACAGAATTTATTCAAAAACCGAAGTCTCTTGCTGTAAATCTTCAATTCGACATTAATTTAGGTATATCAATGACGTTATATCAATTAACAATAAGTATTTTCATCCATACGTTGATTCAATATATCCCATTGAACTGAAAATCAAAGACACCACAGAAAGTGACAAAACTGCTTCATATTTTGATATTTTACTAGAGAAAGACATTGATTGCAAACAACAACTAACGTTAACTTTATGATAAATGTGACTTCAACTTTTCTATCGTCAAATTCTATGGTCAACACAGTGACATTGTTTGAAATATAATCTTTCGTTAGATCGAATATTGACCAACGTCTTTCATATCATTGTTAAGCTATTAATTTCACACTGAATTAACTACAGGTTTTCCGTGTACTCGATCATTACAAAGAACACACGGCGGGTGTGACAGGTCGACAGAGGATGCTTACTCGTCCGTGGCAACTGATCCCACCTCTGATGTTATTTTGCTCTGTTCACTAGTGGACTTTTGAGCACGATTACTGTTTGTCATCTTCTTATTTCATATACGTATTAAAGTGTAGAATGCTTATGGACGGAATAGCTTGAATCGAAGTGGAAACATTTGTTAACTGGGAATATTTAAGAAATGAATTTAATTTTTGAAGATTCATGAGGACATGAACTACGACGCTTCACGCCGGCATATTTCATGAAGCGCGTTAGCGCTTCATGATAAATATGCCGGCGTGAAGCGTTGTAGTTCATGTACCTCATGAATTTTCAATAATTAAATTCATTTCTTATATTTACATTATTTTTTTCTGCTGATTTGCCACAAATAACGCCATTCAACTGTCATTTTTAAAGCAAAACAGTTTGCACTATAGTTTTGATGTCAAGTAAGGTATTATGACGTAACAATGGAGATATTCATGCTCATCCATGGTAGTTCATGAGAAAATTAACTGTATTCTATTTTGTAAAGAATCATAGGAATATAAATATAATGAAATGTCCGTTTGGCTTAAACTCCCATTCATTTAGGTCCAATATTATATAAATCTAGATTGTAGCTGAGGGAACATTGAAAATTTTCATCCAGAGAAAACAATCGTCAATGGAGGAGAGGACAAAGTTGACATTGGTTTTCGATGGGTGAAAATTATCAATATTACCATCAACTACATGCAGCATTTGTTATATTAATTTGAATGTATAAATGTAAAAATTTACGATAAACCGTACGTGCATATACATTGTTTTTCATTTGAGATAATTTTTATAATATCATCTGTTTTCAAATTATGTTATGCTTATATAATACCACCCTGGAGGACAAGATTTCTGTTCTTTGAGGATAACCTTATACATCTTTGTTTTTTCAAACGTCTCTCCCAGGCTCGGGGGGATTATCCAAAGGTAATATATTCCAAATTTTTCTTGTGGTAGTTGGACAATACCCCCAACACACCCTGTTTCGTTTTTCATGTAAGCTGTAAATTATTTTTCAGACTGCCCCCCCCCCACCCCCACATATACACACATTCAAAAATGATGTTACGTACCTGCTCTCATAGTCTTTCTGTCGTCAAAATATTTCAGAATTCCAATATATAGTGGTTCTTCAAAGAGGTTTTTTTCCCGTTTTGTCACCCCCGTTCGCAATATAAAAGCAACAAATAATAAACTAACAATTAAATTTCTCGATTTCTTCTCTCTTTTAACTGCATTTTCTGATTAGAAAAATCATATGACTTAAGATAGTCCGATCCCCATGTTCTGAAAATCAGCAGATAGGTAATTAAAAATGCTCACAAAAATGTTTCTAAATTCACAAAGTAATATCCATTTACCCAGGACATTTCTTCAAAGTTCATCATTGAAATTAATCATATTATTAAGGGAACATTTTCAAATCTCAGATATATTTTCAGGAAGCGCAAATAAAAGCACCAGCTATACATTTCCAATTGAATGTTGTATAGATTTCCAGGCATTTGGAGAAAATTGCTTGTTTTTTTTTTAATTCTACAGTATTTTAGTTCTGTTTACTTTAATTATTGTCATATTTTACTCAGTGTTAAAAGCTTGTTCTTTCATTGCAAGACATCACAAATCACTTATAATGTCATCTCATGCTAACAAGTGCTGGTATCTAAAGCTAGATCAATGGAAATTCGATATCTCTAAAAATGTATTTAACTTTTGTTCTTTTAAGGGGTAAAAATGTCAACTTTTTACAGTGCTGTTTCTAAGACTTCAAAGAACTTTGAATCATTTAAATACATGAAATGAAAATTGTTGCAAGAAAAGATTTCGATTTCAAGCTTCCTTTTGAGGCTTTTTTAGTTTATGAATTTAAGAGTTACCCTTCTTGGCTGAGGAGCGGGTATCTTTAAAACATTCTCCTTCGAATGATGATAGAAAACTGACATACAATAGCTTAGTTCTTCAAAAGAAGGAATATATGTTATTTTTTAAGGTAATTTGTAGGATTGTGTAATGAAGCCATTACATAACGAAATACTTATTGGTAAGAAGTTAATGAATCAAGTGGATAATTATCGTAAAATAATGTGCCCTAATAGAGGGATTCAGACACTGCCTAGAAATTTAATTCAATGACATATGAAACAAAGAATATTACGTGATAGAAATTTACTTTTAAATCACATATTAATGAATTAATATGTGTGTTTTAAGCTAAAAATATACAAGAATATTTACAGATCGGTTGAAAATTAATTTTTAACCTCTGTAATTTTATGCTGACATGTGTCCCTTCTTGCATCCTCTTGCTTTCTATCAATATACATATTTTTTTTTCTATATTTGGCTATGTATTACAAATATTTCATTCAGCACTTTTGGTCACATCAAAAATATATGTACATCTTTTTCATTTTCAAATTATATATTCTTTTCGTTCCATAAGATTTTTCCATTTGATATAAGCGCTGTTAAATTTAAAAAAAAAAAAATCTTTTAATTGTCTGAAAATAGTATATCTTTGATTAGTGATATATAAAATGGTATGACTAAACTCATGTTTGAAATCAAATAAAGAAGAAATTGACACACATATAGCCTCTTAAGGTCATATGAATAAATCGATGTAGAAATATATATAATTCTTAATAACACAGATATTATGTGCTAATATCCATTGTGTAGAAAAGTGCTCTAAATAATATGGATACCATGTGTTAAATATAGATTGTGTGCTCTAAATTATACAGATATAATCTGTTTATTATTAATTGACACAATGGATGTTTGTAAATCTGTGAGTCATTCTTACTTAATTTAATACTGAAATATACATAGATATTAATTAAAATAAATTTTGCAGCATCAAAGCCTGTGTTTTTATTATACTTAAAGAATCGATCTATTCTTTCAGCGTATAAACTGAATTTAAAATCATAACCTTGTCACTGTTCATTAGAAAAGTTCACCGTTTAAAACGTTTGACAAAACGTCAAAGAAGGTGAACATTTTAATTTTTGGGGGTCTATAAGCAGTACATAAATTCAAATTAAAACAACAATTTTTGCTAATTATTTATTTCTTTCCCTTGGGGCATTTTAAAGAAGACATATTCTTGAATTATTAGCTGTTCTTATTGTTATATCATTATACAGCAAGAACTCTTGTTTGCGAGTAGGTAAATAAATGTACGTCAAAAAACAAGTAAGCGTGACGAATGGCTGGCGTCAACCATAATTAAAGACGCCATTTTGGAAGGACAGACTGAAAGTTTTAGAAGTGTGTATGCAGTTTGTCATTTTTGGATACATATTTCAGTGAATATTTTGTGTTTTCTGTTAGTTAGGATGATGATATCATAGAAGATTCCAGCTACAGTTCTGCAATTATACAAAATATGAGCAACAGGTTTGTTATATAACCACATAATGAATATGCAGAAATAAGAGTGAAGAAACTTCATGCTCTTCAGTGATATTATACTAAAAGTACTAACAGTACTTGTGTCATGTTATAGGAAAGTAAAATATTTGTGTAATGAAACTTCAGACAGGATATATTTATCCTAATGTTGGGATATCAGTTTGTTATGAAAGGTTTGGTCACCTGCCAGGCTTTTCTGAGCATAATGATGACAATGTCGTCCTGTTATCCTACTGTCCACAAACGATCAATATCAATCGAAAACAGGGAAACAGAAAACTGGACAGGAGAAAACATACAGGGAAGAACATGTCTTCCATTTTGTCTTTATATCAATTGTAACAATGGTACGTGCTACCAGGATCCCGTAACTTGTGGATTGAGATGTATCTGTAATGCTGGTTACTCGGGACGTAGATGCAAGAAGGAAATCCAAACTACGACATTAGCTCCAACAACTCCAGACCCGAAATCCAAATCAGAAGGTGATTTAGTGAGAATTTTACTGGGAAGCATTCAGGGTAATATTGATCAGAAAGACAACGCATCTTTTTTAACTGAAACCCACGTCAGTGGCGATGATGAAGACGAATTTCGAACAACTTTGGAGACACCTGGAGACTTGGTGAAAAATTCTACTGAAAGCGTTGATTTGTCTTCACTAAACAAGTCACATAAAGGGACAGATGAAATCTTTAGTGGATTTAATAAACCATTATTTTTGTTTAAATTGGATAAAGAGGACCAGAACACAATGAAAATTAATAACTCAAATACAAAAATTTCATTCAGAAAAAATGAATCAACTTCAAATACACCCTTGTCTAATTCTGCATCTAACAAAACGAAAAAAGATGACCAATTGTCTGAGTCTGTATCAATTGCAATGAATGAAAGTAAAGCGTCAGTCCCAAGTTTACCAAAACCCCACAATAAACAAATTGATGAAGAAGGCCCTTCTCTTCGGATGTCCTCACCAGATTTAGAACTAAGTGTTTTGGAACCATTTACATCATTATATTTAGACGAATGTGATAGAAATTGTTCATCAGAAAACGTTTGCGTTCCTATAAAGAACAGATTCCATTGTTATCCAAAGAAACATGAATGTCCGTCTGGGCTTCCTTGTGAGAATGGAATTTGCATGAAGAATGGGAGTCTAATCAAGTGTCTTTGTGAGCCGGGATGGATTGGAGACATGTGTAACAGGAACTGTTCTCTTAACTGTAATGGAGGCGCCTGCTATCGCAGTTCGGAAGATCCTGATGGTGCAACTTGTATATGCAATCAAGGGTATGGAGGAAAAAGATGCGAGCACAAGAAAGAGTTAATCTGTAAGTTATGTAATTCGATAGATGTTTGTTTTAAATTATTAAAAAACCTGCTTATGTTATATTCAGTATTGGAGGATCGTTTCAACATCATCATCATATCATCATGTTCTAGATGTAACGATTAGGATGAAGCTTCAAATAATTAGAAGCTTATTCGAAGAGTACTGTAGTTTCTAATTTTCATGAGATCAAATTTCATGATTTTGGCAAATATTATTATTTAATTGATAGTTAAATTCGTGAACAGCTTCTTTGTCTTATATTATAATTGGTAAAATTTGTAGTTCGTTGATGACCTAATTTTGTGGTATCATTCGACCACGAAAACAACTTCAACTTAAAATAATAACAATGTGCATTGGAAATATGCAAATCTGCTATTGATTTGTCGGATGAAATCCATCGCCTACTTGAATAAAATTGTAACTACTTTACTGTTAAGTGGTACAATATCATCTATTTTGGGTGCTTTGCTTTTGTCCAAGGTCCAGAAAAATGAAACAAATCCTAAGATCTTATGTTAGATGAATTTTATATAAAAATTGATTACTTTAAATTTTCAATTTATTTATTTAAAACCATCTAGAAAGCAACCAATCGGTTGTGTTTAATTTTTAAACATAATTTGATAAATTGGATTTATTTTTATCTAACAAGTACTGAAAGATTTGCTTGTAGTGGTAGATTGTATGAATTCAGTACCAAAATGGATTCTTTAAGTACCACGTATATTGGTTAAATATTGGCCTTATTGATTGATACAGACTTAATAACGACTTTGGAATTACATTAAAAGTTTTTGACCACTTTTTTTAAACCAGATTAAAGGAAATGAGAAGTATATAAAAAATGAAAAAACCTAAATCCTAGTGAATAACTAATTGGAATTCTAAATAAAATTTCATTTTTCATAAAAAAAAAATATTAGAGTAAGGTATTGAGGGTTATATATTTATTGCAAACAGTGAATTTCGATAAAATTCAACATTTTTTAGCCCACTATAACATTTCGGTAATATTGTAATTTTGCATAATGCATAGATAAAGAAGAGGAAACTATGTCGTTTGAAAATATTTAATGTAAGTGATATTTGAAAAGAAATTTTATTGAATTATATGTCTAGATATTATTGATATGTCTATCAAGAAACTTTCTTGATCTTGTGTTGATAAATAGGTTAACCACGATTTCCTATGTTTACTATTTCAAAACCAAAGCTTACTACAGTAAATGAAGGGTTTTTAGACTACAATTTACCACTCTAATCAATATGTCAGATAGTGTGTGTTACTGAGGCATTCAGTGAATGATTAAATATGATTGATTATTATAAATTCAATAATTACTCTCCCAAACAAACGGGTTTGGAATTTTTGGAATGAATTATGTTAATGAATAAAACTTTGATGGGATTTCGCTTACCGTTAGTTCAATTTTGATTCGATATTTCATCATAGACGAACAGCCAACTCTGATTATGTAATTTTGTTAAAGGAACTATGAATAAATTGAGAACTTCTGAACTGACAAACATCGATTTCACCTGAACAATTGGCAATACATTGCTATAATTGCTCGCTTAAGTGAACATTGTATACTTTTTGTGCACATAATGATAATATGGCTTCGAATCAGGTGTTCCATCAAGCGGTTGAAAATCTAATGGGCACTAATAGTGCTCCTTTATTAGCTTGTGTTTATTTCCTATGAAATTCAATTGTACACTCGATATATCACAGTAAACTCAAAATAAAAGACACCATAGAGTCTGCCACATCTGTTTCATATTTGGATGCTTTGCTGACTATAGTCATAAGGGCCAACTTACAACTAAACTGTAGGCAAACAAGATTACTTCAGCTTTGCAATCGTCAACTTTCCTTATTTACGTAGGAATATTCCTCTATCACCTGCATATTTTTTATGTTTCCCAACTTATTCGATACTCAAGAGCAAGCCCTGAGTATGATCATTTTTTTAACCGAGGCAATCTACTCTGACAGATAATTTTGATATTAACAGGGATTTCAACAACCTCGTTTAAAGTCAGCATTTCGTACATTATATGGTCTTTATAATGACCTTCTTAGCAAATATATCCTATCACTGGGTCGTATTTCATACCAATTGTTAGGCCTTTGTTTTAATACTTAACTCGATACCAATTGTTAGGCCTTTGTTTTAAAACTAAATTTGACAATTAGATAACTCCGTCTACCTGATCAATACATAGGGCTCACGGTGGGTGTGACCGGTCGACAGGGGATGCTTACTCTTCCTAGACACCTGATCCCGGGGTCCGTGTTTTATGTGCTGTTTACAGTTTTATATTGTTTGTAGGTTTTTTGCGATCGATCACTATTCGTTTTCTTCACTTTTTTCACTCTGTCTATATAACTAGCATCTTATTAATAGCTTTATTATCAGTAAATATTAGTAACTACATGTATAAGCAAAGATAAGTTATATGTAGGAATTTTCTAGTAATTTAATTTAAAAGAAAATTGAAATTATTCTTTTTTACCAAATAAAAAAAATCGAAATGTTTTCTTTGAATCGGATTGAAATACATCATCTATATTCCCCAATATTTTCTTCTCTTTGACAATTAATCGGTATTTGTTTAGTGATCTTTTTCTTTGTGAATAATACAAATTCTTCAAAGTCTTCATTAAATTCTCTTACAGTACTAAGGCGTAGTAAGATATTTAATAGATTATGTCACGGCGCACGAAATTAATTAAGCTTGTATTTGAAATAACAAATAGGGACTCTTGATTGTTGACTATACTTCGCGGCATTTACTGCTTCAACTCACCGTGACAGGTCAGAAATTTGGGGGATTTTAGTAGGAATAACAAATATCATTATTAAATAAAGAATCCTTATGAGAAAAAAAAACCTGAAAAACAAAAAGCTTAGAATTAGAATTTCATCCTTTCTCATTCACCCTAATGATACAAAATTGTTAAATGGGTCTTTAAATTACAGTAAATATGTAGCTTAAAACTTACAATACGGGACATTTCGAATTTAACTTAAAATCGTATTTAACTTGTTTTAATCTCGATTGACAATATTTATTCTAAACAGTCATTATGATCACTTCTGTTTACGTGAAATTTTCATTTCTTCTAAATTTCTTCTATAGATTAGCATCTTCATAATTAATGTTTGCAGCTTTATTTCGGAAAATAGTATGCTCAAGTTAGAAAGGAAGATCTGTTTTTAATAAGCAGCTACATACAACTTAAAAAAAAAGAACTATAGATTCTGAGACTTAGGTCTCCTTACTTTGTATCCCAAACACAACTAGGCTTAGTGTCAATAGCAGAAGAAAATAAATTTGAACAATTTGTTATTTCTTATTTAGAATTGTTTTACCATGGTGGGCAAACGAAAACGAGATTCAAAAAAAGTCTACATGGTATAAGTAGACATTTTCGTCGAATGCAGACGTAATCATGAGAAACAAAATACATGCACCTAATCGAACTGAGTATTTTGGAGAAGCATTTTCAATTTATTTAATAAAATGTTTTCATTTTGTTAAACACGCGAGCAACCTTTTTGAAAATCCATATATTTGTTTACAAAATTTAAACCCTAACATATATATTTGTTCAGATGCCCGCGTTGTTTAATAAAATAATTATTGTTAGAAAGTATGTTTCCTTGGAAAATAAGTACACTCGCGAGGTACAATCAATTTTTTTTTTTATCAATTAATATCTACTTTATTGATAAAAATATCGAGTTTTTGAATCTTTTGGTCGACGTTTCCTCTTTAGACGTGATTTTGTTTACCCAGTGTGTTCGCGTCTTTCTTTTTTTTTTTTTGGCATTTGGCCTTCTGTTTTGAATTGAAAACAATTTAGTTCTAAAGTATTAAAATACCGTTTATATAGTTTGAACTATAATTTGTTTTTTTTTTTCTTTACAAATATTGAATAAATGTGTTCAACAAGAACATTTGTGGGATAAATATCAAAAATGACTCTTCATTGAATACAAGAGATCAATAACAGAAGGGAAAAAAATGTAAGCAGAAATTCAATTCCATATCAGTACTTTTTTAAAAGAATATGTAGCATTCAATTGTATAAACACTTCCTATCATATATTGAAATGGTGGTTTACCATGTAAGCCAAAACACTAAACAAATTTGCATAACATGTGATGTTTCATATCTGATTTTAATTATCATTTTGCAAATGAAGCAGGACTTCGTGTCAGGACGCCCCTACGTAATAAATGCCATGCCAACTGTGACATTTTGCGTTTGTTTGCCTTTTGGAAGAATACAGTTATGTACTTAATGAAATTCCAAATTAAAACTCATGTTTATAATGAGGAATTAATAAAAAAAATAAATAAACTTCAAAATAATGTTGCTTCAAATTAGGGATAATTTTCTAAGATACCGTTTAGTTTACTTTTTTCATGTTCATAATCGCATCATGACAATCATTTTAATCTGTAGAAATTATATCAGTATTTTTTCTGCTATAAGATTCTGTATCTTAATTCAACATTTTTAAGTACGAAAATACAAAAGTTGTGAATTCTCAATTCATTCTAAAGCGCAAGGATTCCTATGATCTGTAAATGAATGCTTTATCTAATTGTTTCAGCTGCTGAAGAAAAAAACCAATGGTATTGGTATGTCATCATTCCATGCATCTGCTGTGTCATCGTTCTTATCATTGTTCTCGTTATTATCATCTACTGTATGCAGAAAAGAAAATGGTTGTTCGCCATGAAAATTGTTCATTTCTTTAAGGAATATGAGGATGATGGTAAGAGGCCTCTTTAAATTAGACTTTGGCTTTCATTTATTGATAAAATGAGCAATGAATCCAAAATTTGAAAGTCCACAACAATGTATATGGAATATTTGATCTCGTCTTTGTAGATGGGAAAGAATATGATGCCTTCATATCTTATAAGTCATCAAAAGAAGATGAAGACTTTGTTTTGCATCAGCTGTATCCCAAGTTAGAAGAAGAGATGGGCTTTAAACTGTGTCTGCATTTTAGGGATTTCACACCGGGAGATAGTACGTACTTTCACTTTTAACTGAGTACAGAAACCCCAAGGTTTATTTCTGGCTTAGTTCTTATTTGTAAAAAGAACATTATTTTATGACTCTGGTGTACTAACTTTGTGAAGCAAATAGATACACAAAGGGCTTTCGTTGTTTGTTTCATATAACTTTTTTGTAATCGTGCAGTATAGCCTACTGTTAATTCATTTACTTAAGTGTTTCATTAATTGTTTTCACACAAGCAGACATTGTTCTTTGCGACACCGGCATGCATAATCATAAGAACACATAGCTGCAGGCAAAATTTTGACAAGTGCAGAGGGATTTAACGAGCCACATACGGGCATTTTGTCATTCTAGGTCACACATAAAGAATACGAATGGCTTTAATTTGTTTAGCTCTCAGATATTCATAAATTTTCCAAAATCCACAAAATCTTAATATTTTAGAAATTCATGTGATATTTTTCTTATCCGAAAGAGAGTGACTCAGCTGTTTTACACAGCTTTTAGAAATTATTCAAGATTCACCCTTTTCAAAAACGCAAATGATATCTTCAGTAACAAGTTTCCTTTGATAAACAGAAACGTACTTGTATTTTCTCAAAATCAGACTTGATCTTCGAGTTTTACAAATAAAACAAATACCTTCACACACAGCTAGAAAGGTTTTATGTACAGTTTCGTTTTGTCTTCTCCGATTGTTTATAATAAAATTATTTACATCATGTAGCCAATAACAGTGATGAGATTTAATTCATTTCTTTACTTTCTTTCTCTCTCTCTTTCAGTCATTGCTAATAACATTATTCAAGCTATCGAGAACAGTCGTCGAACTATAATGGTTTTATCTCCAAATTATGTTGAAAGTGAGTGGTGTCGCATGGAATACCAAAAGGCACAACACGAAATGTTGAAGAGAAAACACAGGATAATTCCAATAATGTTCAGAGACATTACAAAGTGTGAGAAATTTGATAAAGCCTTGGGTGATATCTTAAGAACGGTAACCTATATCCAATGGCCGGAAGATGGAGACTCAAATAAAATCGAACGTTTCTGGAACCAGCTAAGGTTGTCCTTACCAAAGAAACGCGGTCCAGCCTCGTCTTCATCATCTTCTTACACATCATCAGGAAGTGGATCCACAGTGACGACGGATATCTATTCTTCCGTTTCAAAGCCACTACCAAGTTCTTCTATCATTTCTTCTGATATGAAAACTAATAGCGACACGATCTTGAATATCACTGAAAATGAGAGTGCAGTACATAATAATGCATACCCATCGTACATTTCATTAAATGAACAAACATCGAGCCCCCAGAGCCCGAATACCATCTCTTCGCTACCCAATGAAACAGTACAAAATTCAACTGGTACTGATTCACAACCAGACAATTCCTCAAGTAGGCTGCGCAAAATTGTGAAAGACATGTTGAAGTTAAAAATTCACTCTCGTTCATTTTCTGCGCGTTTACAGGGTGAGGGGTCCTTGGAAACCCCCACACCCACTACTGCTACTCCCAGTATGTGCTTGGATAAGGACATGAGTCCGTTACTTGCAAAAAGGAAGAGCAAGAAATCTTCCACTTGGACAGCAAAATCACTCCATCAAACTCTTAAACCATGTGTGAGGTCTATGAGTGAGAAAGAATGCACCATAAAAAAACTAGACATCATTCCACAGTTGGCATCACAAAGAAGAGAGTTACCAGACGTTTGTAAACATTTGGATACAGGGCACGACAATAATGGATTTGAAAATGAGGTAAACTCTGCTAAAATAAAGCCTATTTCCAAGGAAGACACACGGATGTCAAATCTCCTAAGTGATCATGAAAAAGAATCTTCTAAGGATTTCAATAAAAATATTGAAAATGTCTATAACGAGAGCAATATAGCTCCACTTCCATGTGAAACATGTGTGCATCCATCAGTAAATGTAGATAATGCCGTGTACAACACATCTGCAACGAACACTTGTACAACATGTGTCCAGGAAACAGAATCTAACAATCAAACTGTTGAAAACAAGAAAGAGCTTAACAAACAATTATGCAGAAGCTTTAGAAATGACCTTTCAAGAAAGATTAAGAAATCCAACGTTCCCAGGAGGTATAGTGATGGAGTGAAATTTAACCTGCAACTAGCTAGAGATACTAGCATAGAGGTACCAGTGAACATAACTGAAAGTAGCATTTTTAATAACGATTATCCTTCGCAGGTTACAACAAAGCAAGAAATATCAAACAATTTGTATGGAAATTCAAATAATTTTAGCATTGACCAAAATGTACATTATTGCAATACAAGTGACTCATCGAAAATCCAAAATAATTGGATGAATGAACCATTTGTGCCAGATCAATGTTCAAACTGGCAGACCTTCGACACCAGAAACCTATCTGTGAATTCAAATGATCCAAACTTGAAGCCCTCTTTCTCATCCAGCACATCATATTATCAAAACCTACATACACAGGAGATTTCAAAAGATTCACAAAGTCAGTCAGTTGATGAGAGGAAAATACAGAATGACTCGGAAATTCACACAGTTAACACGAGTATATTACCAAACAATTCTGACCAGAAGTACAATTTATTATTAGATGATAACTACCATCGGAACTGTGAGACGTGTATCTTATCAAATGACTCGGATACCAATTGTAACAATAATCCCTGTTACTCGATACACATTCATCCAAATTACATTTTACCAGTTCAGAGGGAAACATCTAAAGTTCTTAATACAGGAACAGACTGCTTAATTCCGCGGGGTTCTACGGGTGCTAATTTTACAGATATTAATCGACGTTCATCTGTGCCGAATTCTCCAATGATAGACAGACCGTTGAAAGAGAGAAAAAGGCTGCCGCGGCGGGTGTCGGCTCCTCATCTGCTTCATGCTGTCTTGGAAGTCAAATACAGAGAAAATTCCATGGAGCAAGAAAGAGCAAATCCTACTCCAGTCCCTCCAGTGAGGAGGAAACGAAAGAGAAAGACTAACAGAACATATCAGGATTAATATGTCAATGGCAAATGTTTTATTGATCGTTTTACTGTGAAAAATAGCATGTTTTAACTAAGATTTCTCTTATGGAAATAAAGTACTAAAGTATATGAACGAATTTTAATTTCCAATGGTGTATATTTTTGTTGTATAAAGTCTGTCATTAAGAAGAAATCTATGTTTTTGTATCATTTGCACAGTGACATTTAATGAGTCATTTTGAAAAATTACATTTTACAGTGCTCATGACAAGAAGAATTCCTTAAAGAAATATTTAACATTCTTATCATGGGCGCCTTGATCTTTTATAATGTATTTCACGTCAAGATTGGATATGTGCTGTAATGTCATTTATAAGTCTAACAATTATATGTCAAAAAATACTCAAATATATTTTGTATGCAATGCTTCTTTTATATCATTATATGTGTTTATGTTTATAAGGTGTCATGAAAAAAATGTTTACAGTATTAAAAAAATTGATATATATAAATTTTGTCTCTATTCATTAAAAATCACCTAACCTATAGTTTATAAATGAATATCTTCAGTTAAAAATTCTATATATTCGAACTGAAATGATTTATTTTCTTTGAAATATAGATATTCGTCAAATGATATCTAATTCAGATCAGTTCTTAATCCTGCTTATGCTGTAATTTGGAAATTATTCTCTGCGAGATATAACAGTAACGAAAATTACGTGATGATAACATGTAATGTCGACTAATTACTGGCAATTCTTAATAATTTCCCATTCAAGGAAAGTTTATACCAAGGAGTTTGCTTGTAAGATACATATATGTCTAGATTAATTGGTTGTATTTCTGAGTTCAACTTATTTGGAAATCCCCATCGTTTTCTTTGCAGAATCCATCAACCGTGAAAAATATGCTAGTTCTCCAACTGCTTATTATTGTCTTTGAACCTTACATACAAGTGAAAAATGTATTAGTATCTAAAAGATCCTTATCAAACAGGTGATTTTCTTAACTTTGTAAGAGCTCCGGACCTTAGGTCTTGTTATGAGAACTTGTAAAGAATATGCTGTAAAATGTCACATTTTTTACGTATTAAAAACTCTCTAACAACAAATTCAGGTACGCGCTTGTGCTCATTAATTACCTGTCCCATCCCGTGACGTCTATTAATGAGTCAAGCGAGCAGTGTGCAAGGTCATCAATGGAACATGATGAAAGAAATCACGGACAATAAACCACAAACCATTCATAATAAAGAATTTTAAGAGATTCGCTTCAATAATCATCAGTCGAAATAAAAAAAAAATCAATGTAACTCTGTTATGACGTCATACAGATCCACATTAACTTACAATAATGAAGGGCAATAGTATGAACTGAAATGATATATGATTTCATAATATTTTTTTTTAAATAACCAGTCGACTCAGGAATAATGTCCTCAATTCTTTCCCGTAAACTTGGCCATTAGATTTTGATTTCATGTTTATACCATGTTCAGTGTTTTGAATACATTGTATTTGAACCAATACTAGCGGCAAAACATTTTGATAAAACTCACAGAGAGTACTGTATTCTCAGTGAAACAGATTTAATGGTAGAACATCGGTTAAATGTGGAGAAAAGATCAACATTTAACTTAACAATGTCGCAGTCTTTTTTTTTTCCTTGTGTAGATGTTTAGTAGTTTCCTCTTTTCAGAAACGGTGCCGTACCAGTAATATACACTTATCTTCTTTACACACAGATATCCCACTGAGGGCACATAATACTTGTGTAAAACCACGAATTCTCCCAGAAAAAAAATTAAAATGTCAAATACATGTGTTTCTCGCAGAAAGACTTAAAAACGATTATTTAAGGTAAAATGTGTCATTTGAAATCTCTAGCAGCAGTGAATTACTAATGGTTATGAATTTAATTTCACAATAGAAATATACATTTTTCTGTTAATTACAATGGTACCCAACTGACATTAAAGGATGGAGTATTGAAATATCAAAACATTCACATTTTGAATGTAAAATTGAAAGAATTGCCTAACCCACAAAAATATATTATTACGTATTCTTTATGGTGGTATTCCAACTTATACCCATATCTCCCTTTCTAAAGAAGAAATTCTTCAAAATCATATGTCAGTTTTGAATATTTTAAATATTCCCAACGATCAAAATGAATTTGAATTACTATACTTATACTGGATTCCGAAACTTCATAAAAATCCTTTCAAACAAGATACATAGCGGGTTCCAGTAAATTTTATAACAAGCCTATTTCTTTACAACTCACTAAAATATTAACAGCAGTGAAGGAGAAACTTAAGGAGTAATGTACAACAATATATTCGAGATATGTTGTAAATCAGATGTGAATACTTAAAAACTCCAAGGAAATTTTAGAAAATTTGAAATCACAAAATTTTAAAAAATCAGTAACATTAAAACGTAGGACTTTTCAACACTTTATACAACCATTCCCCACGATAAATTAAAGGCTTTTTGACATCATAGACAGCTGCTTTTTCAATTAGATTGGAACTCGTAAATCTACATATCTTGTCATTGGTCGTCTGCAAAATTATTTTGTTAAAAAAACATTCTGATTGTACATACAAATACTCTGAAGTAGATATTGAAAAGATGCTTGAGTCTCTGATTGACAATATCTATGTAGTTTTAGATCAGGTCTTCCAACAATCTGTCGAAATTTCCATGGTACCAATTGTGTTCCGTTATTGGAACACTTATTTTTGTATTCATATGAAGCAGAATTTATTCAAAAACTTATACATGAGAAGAAGACACTTGCTGTGGCCTTCAACTAAACATTTAGATATATCAACTATGTATTATCAATTAACAATAGTTACATGTACTTCCATTCATATGTCGACTCGATATATCCCAGTGAACTTGAAATAAAAGATACCACAGAGTCTGACACATCTGTTTCATATTTGGATATTTTACCAGAAAAAGTCTTAATGGTAACCTAACAACAAAACTTTATAATAAACGTGATGACTTCAACTTTTCTATCAACTTCCCTAACTTCCGTAGCAATATACCCCTTATCACCTGAATATGGGGTTTATAACTCAAAGTTGATTCGATACGCAAGAGCATTATCCACGAACGAACAATATCTAAAACAAGGCAAGCTATTAATAAACAGGTTAATAAAACAAGGATATCAACAATCTCGTTTACAGTCATCATTTCGCAAGTTCTATGGTCGATACAATGACCTTGTTAGTAAATACAATCTATCATGAAGTAGAATGCTGACTGACTTTTTCATACTAATTGTTCAGCCATTATTTAAAATCTGAATTATCTACGGATTTTTCCGTTTGCCCGGTCATGACAATGAGCACACGACGGGTGTGACCAGTCGACAGGGGATACTTACTCCTCCATGGTACCTGATCCCACCTCTAATGTTAAGAGTTCTGTGTTTGCTCTGCTTCCGACTTGTATTATCCCTATGAACTTTTAAGTTTGATTACTGTTTGTTATCTCCATATTTCATTCAACAATACAATACAAGTTACGTGAATAGCTTTAAAATCGTAACAGATTTGAGATGTGTCTTTCAATGGGCACCACTATTGAGGGGTTTTATAAATAAATAAATAAATCTGAACTCTTCTTTATCTTGCTGTAGCGAAGAAGTTGATCAAATACAGATCTTGAATAAATAAACATAGAATTATGAAAAAGAATCCATATTTTTGTTAAAAGCCCCATCTGCCCCAACTCATCGTTAAGAAAGAAGGGGACTGCAAGTTAAATATGTTTCTCTTCGAATTTTATAAATTTTTCAGAATTATTTTATGTCAGCATTCCAAAATACATAAAAACCTCTTTTATTGTATATTTCATTAAACGTCAAAAATATGTTCACCATTTCATTTCACTGTCTTTAAGTTTCTAACTTATTTCTCATTTGAATTCAGAATTTTTAACCTTTTATTCAAAAACGAAACATGAGTTCTGAAATGCTAGTCAAAGTAACGAGTTTACTGACAATTAAGGTTTGAAGTAGGCTGGTGATAAATCATAATTCAATGGATAACAGTATTGCTGACATTGAATTATACTATATGGCGAAAAGTCACTGAAGATTTATAAATCTTGTTTTCATTTATAAAGTCTACATAGACATCATAGACAACTGCTTTTTCAATAAAGATGGATCTCATAAATTTACATAATTGTCGTTGGTCTTCTGCAAATTTATTTTGCTAAAATATTTCTGCTTCTACACAGAAGTATTCCAAAGTTCATATTAAAAAGATGCTCGAGTTTCTGATTGACAATATCTACATATATGTAATTTTGGGTGATCAGATCTTTCAACGATCCTTGAATTCCCATGGATACTAATTGCGCCGCGTTATTAGCAATACTATCTGTGTACTCATATGAAGCAGAATTTATTCAAAGGCTTCTGCTTGAAAAGAAGAAGGTCCTTGCTGTGGTCTTAAATTCGACATTTAGATATATCGACAACGTTTTATCAAATTAACAATATCTTTTTCAAGCCTAAGTTGATTCGGTATATGCCTTTGAACTCGAAATTAAAGACACCATAAAGTTTTACACATCTGTTTCATATTTGGATGTTTCACTAGAGAAAGACATTAATGACAAACTAACAACTAACTTTATAATACACCTGATGATTTCAACTTTTCTTTCCTCATCTTCCTTTATTCCAATCTATTTAACGAAAATATGGGCCCAACGTCAAACTAATTGCAACATAAATTATTATCATAATGTCATAAATTAAATCTAACATGTACAAAATACTTGCAGTAAAAAATCTAAGACATTCTAATGAGGGAAAAGCATAATTTTGGCAAAATTTAATTAGCTATGGGAATTACTAAAGAAAAGGGGCATAACTCTGCAAAACCATCCAAAATGAATATTTTTGCTGAAGTAATTAAAAGAAAATTTCTGTTTTTCATAAAAGCGTAATCTGATTTAAACTTTTCTGATACATTTTAATAGATAATTATTTCACTTAGATGAATTTGAAACCAATATCCTGAATTTAATTTAAAACTTTTTTTAATAATTTGGAAATATTAGCATTTTTATAGAATGTGAATATAGAGTTTTAAAAAAGAATAAAAATAAACAAATTTCCCTTAGATTAGGATTTAGTATGCATGGGTCATTTCATTTAGTACATTAAAAACTAAATATTCTTTTAAAATAACATATTATCTTGAAAGATTAAGATACAAATGTTTACCTATACGTTTTGATAACCGCTGCCCTAGAATTTTATCATTATGAGGCGAGGAAATACAACATATACTTTGATGTGAACCTAAGCATCTGAAAAAAAGTATTCGGTATATGCACAAAATTTTTAACCAAAATTTACTAAAGTGACAAGAGTTGAAGCCCTTTTCTATAGTAATTTTCATAGAAAATTTAT